CGTCATTACATCACAAGAGATTTTAAATTTCTCAGGAGGACGGACGACTACAGGACCACATAACGTCATACATGCGACAGAGATAGAAATTTCTCAGAGGGAGACCGACTACAGCGTCCAATATAGCCATACATCACAGGAGATGAAAGTTTCCCTCAGGGAGAGGACCGTACTACAAGTCCACCCCATATAATTCTAACTCACAGAGGATGAGAATTTCTCAGGAGAGGGACGACTAGGCAAGTCCACATATGAGTCGATACATGCTACAGAGATTGAAATTCCTCAGGAGAGGGACCGACACAAAGTCCCAACATATTGGGGGTCCATTTTGGACATCAGCAGGAGAGGACTCTTTAAAGTAGAGACACTACATACTGATATACACCTGAACATCAGCAGGAGAGGACTCTTTAAAGTAGAGACACTACATACTGATATACACCTGAACATCAGCAGGAGAGGACTCTTTAAAGTAGAGACACTACATACTGATATACACCTGAACATCAGCAGGAGAGGACTCTTTAAAGTAGAGACACTACATACTGATATACACCTGAACATCAGCAGGAGAGGACTCTTTAAAGTAGAGACACTACATACTGATATACACCTGAACATCAGCAGGAGAGGACTCTTTAAAGTAGAGACACTACATACTGATATACACCTGAACATCAGCAGGAGAGGACTCTTTAAAGTAGAGACACTACATACTGATATACACCTGAACATCAGCGGAATAGGGAACCTTTAGCATTTTTTGGTAACTTAATTGAACTATTGTGGGGAAAACAGTATTTCCATCTCTGGGAAAGAAATAACTCAAGTCTGGTTTTCTTTAATTTGGTCCAACTTTATTATTTATGTATTTGTAACGGATGTTTTGCAGTGCGTGTTCAAAAACTAGCTTGGAGGTTTTTCACCTTTCAGTGCTCTAACACAACAAATCCGTAGAAGATTTCAGGAATGAAGTAAATCAAGAATACCTTGTAGTGATACTTTGATAACAGATTCAATCTTGAAAATCTTAAATGCATGTGCAACATTAACTAATGCTACTTTCCTTACGACTGGACGGGTGTTTCTGTGATGTGATTATTTCACACTGATAGACTCAAACATCAGAAGAGACTCGCTGAATTTGCAGAGAGCGATCCTGAAAAAGAAATATCATCTTTCTTCTGCAGCTGCAAAAAAAGTGTTGCTGGAAGAATCTTTTACTTACACAAAAGTGCTAATACATTTAAAATACTCCATTACAAGTATTCAACTATAATCAGGAAAAATATCCTTAAGGTTCTACGAGTAAAAGTACTCAGTCTGCCAAAACATCCTCGTATTTTTGTATATATTAGTATGTACAATATATAATGATATTATTAGATAGTTCATATATTAGCATTTAAAAAAAAAGAAGATATATGAGAATTCATGTGTATTTAGTTCGTCTAATCAGGAACGTATTCTGCAGAAAAAATGCCTACATGTGTGACGAAGCTTAAATAATTATAATATTAGTAATTAAATATATATATAATTCTACTATATGTTGATGCTTATACTTATGTGCTTTTAGTAAATCCTTGAATTTAGGTGTTTGACTTGTAATGGAGTATTTTAGGACCATAGTATTTTTACTTTTACTTCAGTTAACCCATTGATTTCCGCACAAACAGAACAAGAAGTGCTAAAATGCTGACTTATTTCTGGGTTTTAGGACTCATTCCTGCAGAAGCTGATGCAATATTATGCAAAAAGTCTTAAAATTGGAAAGCTTTTAACATTGAAGTGTATAAACTCAAAGGAATCGGTACAGTTATAACGTCACTAATGTGGAATCATTAAAATAACAACGAGCTGTGTAAAGCTACATTCCTCAGATTTGCTCAAACATCCAATAAAAAACAAGACACACTCATTCCCTCAGCTTTAAAGAGAAAACACACAAACAGCAGATTGTAATATAATGTGTAAACTTCTCCCTGATGCAGAAATCATAATCAAAGTGCCGCGGTGAAATCATCGTCTACACGTATCCATGACACTAAACCACTTTGTCACAACCATTAAACTGAATAATCTTACGACCTGCTTCAGAGCTCCAGAGGGGACGGACACTAACCATGCTGATGGAGCGTTGTTTTTTTAACACACAGTACACAGTTTGGTAGATCAACACTAAACTCCGAAGAACAGAACCATCGGCACGAATGGGTTTCACACATCTGAGTATACTCTGAAAACCAGCGTTGGAGCCGAATGAGGTGGGGAAAAAAATGTGTTGGAAATGAAGTCAACGACAGACTGGAGCCAGGGGGCCGTGGGCACGGACATGCGAAGAACCCCCCTCGCGTCTTTATAGTCACTTTAAGTCTTCTTGCGATAATGTTTTTTTGGAGTCATTTTAAGTCATTTTGTAGACATTTTGGGTCTTTTAGTGGTCATTAAGCTCTCTTTGTAATCATGTTCAGCCACTAAGTGCTCATTTTGTGTCTCTTTGTAGTCCTATTGATTCACTTTTTTTTTAATCATTTTGTGTTCATTTTAAGCCTTTTCGTAAGAATCTTATGTTACTTTGTTGTGATTGTATCTTTTTGTCGTCATTAGAAGTCACTTTGTGGTCAATGTGTGACACAATGTATGCATTTTGTGTGTCTTTATAGTCATTTTGTGTCTATTGCGGTCATTTAAATCACTTTGTGATAATTGTGTGTCTTTTAAAGTCACTCTTTAGTCATTTTGTGTATCTTTCTGATTGGTGCATGTCTCTTTGAGTATATCGTAGGTGACGGTAAGGGGGCCCCTGACACTTTGGATCCCAGGCCTGTGCCCAGTTATCACCTTCTGTTGGAGGTTGAATATGCCAAGACGATCCCGGAGCTTCTGTACAGGTGATATTTCATGGAAAAAAAAGAGCCGAAGGCGAGCTCCACGCTCTGCCTTTACATGAACATTACACAGTCCCTTATTAGCTTTGAGTAGTGGATGTACTGGTGGGCCGACACCAGAGTAAAAGAGTGTCTGATGGAGTCTGTCTCAGTGATCAGTTCCTCTTCCTGACCGGCTCCTCCGCAGCCTCGTCTTCCTGAGCGCCCCCGGGGAACGCGTGGTGGTAGAGGTGCCTGTGATTGGCTGCTACGTTGTACAGCTTGTAGAGAGCCTGTGGAGCAGACAGGTGTTTACAGGTGGAGGATTCACACACACATACAGCGCCATCTCATGGTTAAATCCTGTAATTGAACAAATGGGGAAATTTGGCAACGCCCTCTTAGCAATTTGGCAACGCCCCCAGCCACTGCGATCCGCTGGGTTTTCAGTTGGAATCCGCTGGGTGGAGTCCTATCTGGAGTGCTACATCTGTACTGCACATATTTTATATTTTATTGCATTATATTTCAATGTAAATACTGCTTTATTTGATTTTCTGTTTCACTATATTTTTTCTTATTTTTTTGTAATGTTATTATAGTGTTCTTAAAATAGTTCGCTATCTGTGTTTTTAAATTGTACTTTTATGCAGTGGCGGTTCTAGACCAATTTTACTGGGGGGGCCAGGCTGGGGCCAGTTATTTCATGAGAGGGGCACAATAAAACCGGGTTAAAAAGACAAAGACAGTATAAAGTAATTGTGTAAAATAAACATAAAATACAGTAATTGTTTTTTGTTTTTGTAAATGTAAGTTACAGTCCTTTCTTTAAGTAGTTTTTTTCATTTAGAGTATTTGCTTTAGTAACTTTAAGTGACAATTTAATGAAAAAACATGAACAGAATTTGCTTTTGTAAGGTAATGAACAGTTTAATCTTGGCTTGGTCAGTGTTACGGGGGCACTGGCCCTTGTTAGGCACACAGGGGATAGAACCGCCCCTGCTTTTATGTATGTACCACGACACCAAGTCAAATTCCTCGTACGTGTCAACCTACCTGGTAATAAACCTGATTCTGATTCTTCTGATTCTGATTCTGACAATATCAGAATCAGAAGTCCTTTATTAGTCCAACAGTGGGAAATGTACGGTGTTACAGCTAAAGTGGCATAGCAGGTAAATAAAGGCATGCAATAATAAAGAATACGCTAACTTATTAAATACAGAGAAGAAAAGCACACATTAGTAATAAAATACTCAACCATAATAAACAACCATGGCTAAAAATGAGTATTTTAACAAAGGGGAATTTATGTATTTCTTTAGGGTCGCAAGGGTCTTTAAATTAAGCCGAATGAACCTCAGAGATCTCCTCCTTCCTAAATCAACCAAACGTTGTAATTAAAACCAACAAAAACACTAAATAAAGCAGCTTCAAGTTTAAAATCAGTGTTTCCTCCATGGAAGCAGGTCGGAGTTGCTACGAGCTAAAGGCTAACGTTAACTCAGCTTGTTTCTCTGATAAGTTAAGATTCAAAAGTTCAGGAGGATTTAATCAGAAGCCGAAATATCTACAACGGTCTGATCTTCTACAAAATCAAAGATAAACACTGAATGAAGCTGTTTCACTTAAAAAAAAAACAGTGTTTCTCTGATGCAGTTTGATGAATTTAAGATACAGGTACACAAAGTACACAACTCAACAAAAAATATATTGCCAGACGTTTTTACATATTTTAAATGCAGAAATGTTACTGTTACGTGCCACAGTGGGGGCTTGTGTGTGTGTGTGTGTGTGTGTGTGTGTCTCTCTCTCGCTCCCTGATTGTCTCCAGGTGCAGCCTCTCCCCCAGGTGCTCCCAATCCCCAATCAGGGCCTCCTTAAAGGACCTGAGGAAGGCTGCAGTGGGCTCTCTCCTTCTCCTCTGGCTGCATGTATGCAGCATGTCTCTGTCTCTGTGTGAGGCCTGTGTTTTAGTGAATTGTTAGGAGATGTGCTCCAGTTTAC